GGGCAAACAACATTAACCTCATCGTCTTCTGTTCGATATATGCTCGACATGTTGCTAAAGTGTTGCTCAAGCGGTCTGTATCTACGATAGTAGAACGATGCCGCAAATATCAACAAAGCCAACAGCAGAAGCCCTGATGAACATGAATTTATAAACTTAAATCACTACACAAAGATATAAACACTGCAAGAATGAAATAAACAAACAAAATTGATACATTTATATATGAGTGCACTGTATAAGTGAATTTATGATATTGACAACTATAATTAAAACTTTAAAACTTTTAGCCTTCATATAATTTTCATTCTAATCCTAAGGCGACAATCAACCATGATTATGAAATAATTTAATTACTATGATAAATAAATATATGGAACGCGATTAAACAATTAATAGCATATATTGATTTTAGATGAAATCATGAAATTACTCTTGCCATTGTTTATTGTCAAAATAATTATTTCATGGGTTTTTGGAAACCTYTGGACAAACCGCAAGAGCATTGGCGTGAACATAGGTATTTTAAGAAAAAAAAGTTAGGAAAAAAAAGGGAAATTTAGAGAAAAGTGGTCCTAAGTCGCCTTATTATATCTTTAGGCGCCAAGGACCCTGCCCAATTATCTCTCAATTTTTCTAATGTCGCCTCAAGATATGAGGAGAATTTTCCAGTATTCGCCTTAAGACGCATATGAACATAGTAGAGAATGACTACATTAAATGATAAAAGTTATATACGACAGCGYTCTAGCATGTTTATGTAGTGTGAACAATGTATCTTAGTCAAGCAAACACCAACACACTATGTGAGTTAGGCTTCGCTCTTACCTACGCATGTCAGTACAATAATCAGTGCAAGATTGCGTTTTTCTGRTGTTCTTTTACCAGACTGAGCACCTATGACGCCGTCGTTTGGTGTGTTTGTTGGAGTAGGGTTCGTTTTGCTGTACGTGTACAAAGCCCTAGAGAATGTAATCAAATATACTAGATAAACACATACCTTTTTGACTTTTGAGCATATGAGGAAATATAGAGCAGAGCAGACAGTCTCATGTATCGAATTAATAATAATGAATAATAATTAATTAATAGTTAATGATTTTTAATTAATAATTATAATTATTAACCTTTGATTTCTGACCAGTTTTTGAAATAAAATATGTAAAACTAACTATAATAAAGTAAATTTAAAAGGGTAGCCTCGTTTCCATGCTGACGTTCGATATAGCATACTTTAAATGCCCCTAAATCCCGTCGGTGCGGTTTTAAAAGGTGACGACAAGTTTTGTCATGTTCCCAAAGATCCCCTTTACACATTCAAACTAGTCGCTTGCTTTCATCATCGATTTCCCACGGGACTTCTATTTATGACATTTGCTCCCTGACTATTATATGAGGAAGTATAGAGCAGAGCAGACAGTCTCATGTATCGAATTAATAATAATGAATAATAATTAATTAATAGTTAATGATTTTTAATTAATAATTATAATTATTAACCTTTGATTTCAAGGCAGCAATGAGTATATGGTATGATCCTCCGGTTGTGAAAGCATAATAAACAGAAAATGGTCTTACCTGACAGATCCCTTAACAGACATTGCTGGCCCAACGGAAAAAGACGTATTCAAGGAAGCAATGGCCGCACCCAAGGACGTTCCTGTCAACAGCCAAAAAATAATTAAAAATGGGCGATGACTAAAACACCATGCAGTGTTATCACACACTCACCGTTAGCTTTAAGATTCGGCATGACGTCGAATTCCACCAGCATGGCTTTGATTTTCAAAGCTGCGATACGAACTCTGGAAATATTTACATCATATCATGAGTCATGAGTACATTGATTCGTAACTGACGACAACACGACAAATTAACGGATAATGATGCATCCTGGGAGACTTGTTCAAAAATGTTACAGTGTTACTTACTTACTAACGTGCAACATGCCAACATAGTGGTTTTCTGACTTATATGGAGGGTGTAACCACAAAAAATTAAATCCCTAAGCAATATTCAAGTAGGATGATATCTAAAACGTTGAATATATGCGCAGCTAAAATATTATTTATAAATATTAATAATAAATGATAATAAATAATCGAATACTTACGGATTAATTCTTGCTTGACGAGCGACRGCCTGAATAAAGTCAGCTTCAAAGGTCTTTGCTGCRGTRTCTTCTTTTCCTTGGAATTTGATTCTTAATCGCGTCGTGCCATCGATRGCTGTTTGCGTAAACTGCTGGGTRTGATTACTGTATGACAARCTTCTTCCCGCTCCGTTCTTCGATGCAATCATGAAAGTGTACTCGGTGTTGCTGTACAAATGGCCGAACGTATACGTCATGATATTTCCGACTATTTCTTGCTTTTTTTGACTGTATTGCTCTTCAGTGATGCTGGTTTTGCCCCATACAATCTGCATGAAGAAGATTATAAGAAATGGTTTTCTATTTCGATCAGTTTTGAGGAAACAAGGTCGCAATAAATGAAAATGAACGAGAGAAAAAAATCCCCCCCCCCCCCCCCCCCCTCCACTTGCAAGCTTGGGTCGTGTGTYCAGTCTCCATCAGATCACCAATTTTTTTGTGTGTTTTGTTTGTRCTTCTGATTTCCATGGAGTACATTTTGTCCTCTTATTTCAACTTCTAGTGTTGCAGTTCACAGAGATGTAGTAATCAATGGGGTTGACAAAGCTGTGCCCCTGAGACAGTTACTTTCTCAATGGACTCATTGTTTCTTTCCATTCTGCTGGACGTTCCGTTCCGTAATTATCRGACTGGAGCAGGAAAAAATCCTGAAGGGAGGGAAGGAAGGGACGAATTGCACAACATATATATGTACAACAATAAGGAATTATTTACCTCATATCCAGTGATTTTGCCATTAGGTTGAGAAGGTTGTGACCATGACAAACGTAYTGTAGAAGATTCGGGCTCAATTAGTTCTGCCTTGACGAACTTTGGAGCAGATGGAACTATATAACAGAAATAATGTAACTAACCATTCAATCTAAACCCAAAATGTTTTTTTTTTTCGATAACCTTTTAAAGTGCAATTGAACCCTTTTAGAAAATCATTTTTTAAAAAAGGCAAATATGATGCTAATCATTGTCTTGAAGAAAAAAAGTTTGAATTCTATTTTCTGAGTTAAAGGCATTTGAACATTGAAAATGCTAATGAAGTGACGTCAATCAAGGAATTGGGCTGGAGGTTTTTCATTGTTTGCGATATCTTGTGTTCGGTTGAAATGGTCAAATCATCAATAACAGTGATATTCCAGAACTGGCAATGTCATCTCCGATATAAAAAAAAGAGTAATGTATTTTTTTTTCGTGATTTTGCATATGAAATCATTCCTTAGTGGACGTCACGTAATTTGCATTTCCGATTTTCAAATATTTCTAAATCAGAAGATATAAATTTGAAAGTTTTTTCCCTTTGCAGAAGTGCTTAGCAGCATGTTCTCTTCCGAATGAAATGACTTTCTAGAAGAGTTCAGTTGCAGTTTAATAATGTGAGAAATAATGTGTCGGTGATGATGGCGATTACAAATGATAGGTCACCATGATTTTTATACACTATAGGGGGAGGGGGGAACTAATGCCTCGTTAAATAGGCCCCCTTGATACAAATATCTGAAACACGGTATCTTTCTGAGAAATCACTGGAAAATGGTGGCAGTGGTGATAATGACCTAATGAAGGTTATATTGATGTTGATACGGTGGGAGAGTGATGTGAATGATGGTGATGATTTAAGTCATTTACAAAACRTACTTTCTTCGTGAGTCAAGACCTCTATCGCTTTACTAAATGGACTTCTTCCTTTCTCGTTCGTCGCGACCACGACGAACACATACTTTGTATATGGCTTAAGAGCATCAATAACTTGGGAAAACGTATTCCTAGCGACTGTGATTGGATCAGCTGTTGGATCTGGCTTACGCTGAAAAAAAAATATACAACACCTTGTAAACGATCACGTGTTATTCTTCCCAGTTTTGTCAATAAAGTTATGAAGCTTTTACGTCACCTATGGAATTTTCAATGCATTATGGGATCAGTTTCTAGAGAAAACAAAAGAAATTCGCCATGTTTTGTCTCAAACATATCCCACAATGCATGGTGTATACGGTATATGACGTAAAAGCCTAAGAGGTCTATTGGCTGCTTGGTGTCATGCCAAGCTAACTGGAAATGATGTACTTTACCTGGTAAATGATGAATCCTTTTATGTTCCCATTAGGCGATACGGGAGATTCCCATTGGATTCTGACCTTTCGTGACGTCATAGCAGTACCGCGCACGTTAATGGGTGGGCTGGATACTATCATAGAGTGATGAGTTAGTTTATTAGTAAATAGCTTATTAAAATGAAGAAAAACTACGAAGTGTAGGCACTAATGAGCATGCGCATTGTGCTCCACTCGAGCCGCATCATTCATCCCACATTGTAAGAAAGTAATTTGTTGCATAAGTAAAAACTGTTCTCAATTTTTATAAAGATCTGTGAGTTCTATTGAGACCTTTCACTGGAAAAAATCGCGCGCTTAAAGGTTGTAAATTTGATGTATATATGATGTAAGTGTCCAAAATGATGTAAATTTGATGTAAATCATTTCCATCAAATTTACAACCTTTATGGCGCGCGATTTTTTCCAGTGTTTTCTAGAGTTGGGTTGTCTCGTGACGACCGTGTTGTAAATCTGATACAACATTAGGGTTGTATCTGGACTTACAAGGTCAATACCCTGATCAGACGTTCCTCATTGAACTCATGGCTAATCAATCATCTATCTCGCCATTGCTATCACCATAAATATATTATATACTTACTAATAGATTTGAACGTAATTGTCAGGTTGGCCTTGGGTCCTCCTCCAACTACAGAGTAAGCTAATACCTCTAGGAAGTAAGTCTTTCCTGGAGTAAAACCACAAACCTTTGCGTACTTTAGATTGACGGTGGCCTTCAGCTTACCAGAAACATAGATCTTGTAGCCCTACAAACAATACGTCTTTTTAAAAAGGATATGTAAATCAAACAAAAAGATTCAAAGTAACAATTAGAAACTGGATGTTCAGAAAAACAAATGGTCCAAAAACTATGGTGTTTTGAGGTACATCCAGTTTCCAAAGGCAACTACCACAGCAAAATGACCGAGACTTCAACTACTCTATCGTTTTTATTATTCAAAACAAAATTTTCTCTGCACTGATAGTAGGCCTCCGCGGCGGGCACTATCGCGTCATGTGGTCGACTCCCCACCAATGAGAGCAGAGTAAAATTTAATGTTGAATATAATTCTGATTTTTTAGATATAAGTGCGTTTACTTCATCCTCCATAATTATTATAACTGACGTATAAACACATTCAAGGTAATACCTTGGCGTTAAATTCTCTACTGCTGCCTTTCTGTAGTAATGGAGCACTCCACAACAMGTCTGTGCAAGTTCCATTGTTAGATATTTCCTTAAAGTTACGAGGTGGAAGGACTGGTTCTGGGAATAAAATACACTTACTGAACACTATTTTGAAAGCAATATAAGTAACATCACTGTCAAAAATTATATATGATTATCGAGTCATTTTTGCCGTATTTCAGAAGGAACGAGAGGAAGAGACTCAAAAGCCGCAAAAGTTAATACTTAAATAAGCCTTAGATACCATCACCATCTACACTGTTGCTTACAAATTGGAGCTGTATCGTTAAATGTACCGTTCCTTCTTTGTTCTTAAGGTCCCTAGGAAACTTCGGCAGAGACGAAAATTCAGTTGGATGCGCATACACAAAGTTTGAYATAAATATAATATAAATATAAATATATGGTCGTATTCGTCATATTACGACCATGATTTCCGCCATCTATATCAATGAACAGTTTGTTGTCGTAACACCAACAACAGCTACAACATTAAAGGGACACTGTCCATGGCACGCATGCGCGAGTAAACTTGAAAACACTAGGCTAGTGTTTTCAAGTTTATGACTCCAAGTTGGCGCGACATAAATCAGCTCGTAAACGTAAACAGATCTAGAATATTCCAAAGTGTGTCAAAAGCACCACAAAATGATTTACCTCGAAGGTAATACTTTCAAAGTCCGTTAGAGGTGAGACTGTTACTGCGCATGTCATCCATTGACAGTGTCCCTTTAAAATAACAACTATTTCTRCAGCAGCAAAATAAGGAACACCTACTGCTTGTATTGGACCTTGCATGTACTCGCCCGCCATAACTCTGACCACCAGGAAACTTTGCAACAAGCTGTAAGAAAACAACAAATTGAAGTTAACTCAGTAGAGGTGGAGTTTAATTATGGTCTCACTGAACTTACATCAAAAGAGTACAGTGTATCTTGAGTAAGTTTATTAAAGTCGTGTCGTCGAGCGGTGCCAGGTAAAATGACATGACGTGAAGATTSTCCGTCGCCTGTCCAACTGAGCTAAAGTAGATAACTAGGGTTATTTTCAAACAACGAGAGAAACAACAATGGCAACTACAACAACAATGGCAATAACATCAAGAGCAGCAACAACAACAAAACGACATCGGCAAATACAACAATAAAAACAAGAGAAAATGAAACAAATGAAACAGAAAAAGCAATCAGCACTTCTAATCAAAAAACATGACAAGAAAAAAACATAACCAAAAAATATAACGTCGCATTTAGATCCAAGCTTGTACTTACAACATATGATGTGATTCTACCATAGTCATTATCAGGTGCATTCCATGTCACCCTTATTGCWYTACTGCTTAATGGATATGCAGTGAAATCTTTAGGTGGATCGGGATCTAAACGGAATTCAACATTGCGTATTGGTCATTGAACATACAAAAGCACAAACACGAAAATATTTCTAATAAGTAAAAAAAACTTCCTCGCTGTGTTTTTTTTTAGCTGTATTGACATTCCTAGGAGCCTGCCTGCATTGGTTTCATGAAATTTGAAAGGAGGTGGCTGTACTGTTATGTTATAAACGCTTTAACGGTAAATAATAACTAGGGGGTGCTGGGAAGGTAACAAAAGCGCACTAACAACTCAGAAAACACTTCACAGTCTTCTTCGGTCATATCAGGAACACAGAAAAACCAACAGCTATACACACATACATTATACATAAAAATATTAGGCTAAACGCTTTAACGGTAAATAATAACTAGGGGGTGCTGGGAAGGTAACAAAAGCGCACTAACAACTCAGAAAACACTTCACAGTCTTCTTCGGTCATATCAGGAACACAGGAAAACCAACAGCTATACACACATACATTATACATAAAAATATTGAGCTAAACGCTTTGACGGTAAATAATAACTAGGGGGTGATGGGAAGGTAACAAAAGCGCACTAACAACTCAGAAAACATTTCACAGTCTCCTTCGGTTGTGTGAGGAAGACAGGAAACCCAACAGCTATACAAGGAGAGGAGAAAGGAAAGAAATACTAAAAACCTTAATAAAGCATTTTCAATAAAAAAATAAACAAATGGATCATTYAAAGGTACTTACTGCTGTAATTGGTTTTTACAGATGCAACATCAGAGAATGCACCTTCTTTATTTGTGGTGTAAGCTAAAACTTTAAAGTAATATGTTGTGCCTGGTATTAATTTGCTGACTAGGAATGATGTTATCCTATTGTTTACGTYGCCACTCTCTTGGTAATCAGATAGACGCTTCAAACTGTAAAATATAGATAAACTTTATTGCTTGGCATGATAAATACACTTGACTGTTGCCTTGCTTAAACCCCAATATTATGAACACCCCCTTGGGGTGGGAGGGACTCTGCTATATCCGCGCTAAAGGGTATGCTTTTAATTCTAGGGTAGGGTATCCTTTCTTGACATTTTTTCTGGAATAGGGTATGGTTTTAGTCTGGGATAGTGCTACAGTTTGGTCGTCGGATTTAGTCTGAATAGAGGTAGGTTTCGGTCAATTTTTGTCTGGAATAAGCTGCGCTTTCGATTGACACAAAAACACGGTAAATTCCATTTAAAAGTTAGCAAAACAGGGTGTACAATTCTTAGGTTTAGTCTGGAGTTGAATATGAAAAATCGAAATTTTACATCTGGGACAGGATCAGGACCTTTTAGCCAAAAATTTATAATTGAATTACCTTTTAAATATCTTAAATCCGCTGATGCTACTTAAAGGTTCCAATGGAGGACTCCATGACACGGCTACTGAGGTAGGGCCTAACGATGTGGCCTTGACATTAAGAGGCCTAATATCTGAAAACAATAATTGCTGTTGTCATGAGCTGTAATATTGTAATAACAATAGTTAGATACTGGGTCCTATGATATCAGAGGGCGGGGGKTTTTGGTCATAGATTTTGAAAACGACACTTAAAATTAGTCACCAAAGGACTGAAATGAACTTCACCAGTAAATAAAAGGTACCAAAGTCTAATTTTTTATATATTTTTTGTGTAAGCTCACCTTTAGATACCTTAACATTTATGACCTTGTTAACAGTTGATACCATGTTACGAGCATAAACTTTGACTGTGTAACTGAAAAAAAAAGTGTAGAAATATTGATATATAAATATTACTGGAACTCCTACCTTAGTATTACTCACGTCTTGGATGAATTGAAAAAAACTTTGAAGAACGACTCCCAGCCCGTCTGGTACTTTTTGCTGTCAATTTCCCATGTGTAAGTCAACTGACCAGCAGCTTTCTGCATTAAGTGGTAAAGAATGTCAATTTTACAAGAGCAATGTAGCTGCCTGCAAGTCAATGAATGATACTTACTCGGCTCAAACCAACGACATTCACCATAAAGGCAACAGTTTGTGCAATACTTGGATCGACTGGATGATATGATACTTGTATATTCCTATCAGCGAGTTGTTCTGAAAAAAAAAAAACGAAATTATGCCTTATACTTTTGCTTCCAGTATGATCTGCTTTATACTTGCTTGTTTTCTTTGTTGACGTAATCATATAAAATGAACAAAAATGCAGAAATATTACACACCTTCAATGTTGACTTCTATTCTCTTGATAAGTATGCTGCGAGTATTTGTGACGGTAAGTATGATAACATAGCGACCTGGCCTGCAAAAACAACCCATAATAATATCATCTTAGAATAATTTTATTGATAGAGGTAAGAGAGGTTATATATAGCTGTGATACAAAACTACATTTGTATAAATGATTGCTTACTTTGTGAATGAATGTGTTACTTGCATGAATGATGCTCCAGTTCCATTCTTCACTGAACCATCACCAAAGTCCCACCTGGAAATTAAAGACAATTGACATGATGGAATAGATTGGCATGAAAATTATTATTGATTGACTTCATTTTTTCCACAAAAATGATTGCCACCATGATGACTGACACGATGGCTGTCATAATGTAATGTAATGTAATGTAATTTTTAAAGCGCTTATACAGCTCAGATCTAAGCGCTGAGAAATAAAAATATAGATAATTATGAAAAAATTACAGATAAAAAATTACAAATTACAAATAAATTACAAATTAAAGGCTAGTTTGAAAAAAATAAGTTTTAAGGCATGATTTAAAAGAGTCAATGTCAGTAATGTTTCTAATAGAGGCAGGTAGAGAGTTCCATAATATGGGAGCAGCAACAGAAAACGAACGATAACCACAGGACTTTAGATTGTACGATTTTACAGACAGCAACACTTGAGATGACGAACGAAGTTTACGGGCAGGACGATATCTTTGAACAAGTTCTTGGATATAAGTAGGAGCAGTAGAATACAAAGCTTTGAAGACCAGAAGAAGAATTTTAAACTTGATTCTAAACTCAACAGGTAGCCAGTGAAGGTTGATTAAAATAGGAGTGATATGGTTGTGTTTCTTGGAGAGAGATATAAGGCGAGCGGAAGCATTTTGCACAGATTGTAGACGATT